CCTCCTGATGCAGGCCAGGATCCCATTGGCCTTCTTGGCCACGAGGGCACATTGCTGCCTCATGGTTAACTTGTTGTCAACCAGGACTCCCCAATCCCTCTCTGCGGAGCTGCTTTCCAGCAGGTCAACCCCTAGTCTGTCCTGGTGCCTGGGGTTATTCCTCCCCAGGTGCAGGACCCTGCACTTGTCCTTGTTGAACCCTAACGATCCCTGGTTTGCTGCAGACCTGGGCCCATGGGTCATGGGTATGTCCTAGTGAGGAGTGGATAAGCTCCCTTGAGCATGGGCAGCCAAAGAGGATATTAAAAATGAGACCCCTCTATGCAGTGAGTTTTTTGCAGGCATATGGAGAAGGCCAAGGCAGATGTCTTCAGTGCTCACGACTTCAGGAGCTGGAAGACACCCTTGGAGGAGGAATCCTGCTGCCTGGTGTTCCTCATTAATAGTATTTCCTTGGGCTTTTATGGCTGTGGTGTTTCCCTGATGTGACTTTTTGGTTCACCTCTTTGTGCTGCTTTTACAGAGCATTTGGCACCTGGATAAACTGCTCTCCTCTTTTTGGAGGCAGAGCATCCCTCCTCCTCCTCATTTGCAAGCTCTGCTTCACTGGGTCATAAAGAGAAACCACTGGCTTTCAAGAAGGGAACATATAAGCCAGTCTGATTAGTTCTGATGTGCTTTTCCCAAAATTAAAAAAACAAAAGCTTGAGCAAATGTTTATATAATGCTTGATTCTGAGAGCAATAAATGCATCATAAGTTCAGGAAAAAAAAAAGCTAGTTAGCAAATTAATGGGAGGTTTTATGAGTACTTACTAAGCCATGTAACGACAAGTCAAACACGGATTGAGTCTGCGAAGGGGAGCGAGGTGGATGGAGCGAGCTGCATCTCGCATTATTCTCCATGTGTGAATCACCTGGGGCTCTGCTTGTGGACATTGCTGGACCAGGACATGCTGGTTTTAATGTCACATCCATTTGCTGTGAGGCTTTCACGGCTGGACTTGCAGTTGGTGGATACCCTGTGCCCCTCACGCTTTGTAGAGCTAGGGACATTGAGTCCCTAGCCTCTTTTCCTGCCCTTAATGCTGGGATGGTCTGTCTTGAGTCCTGGCAAGCTACTTTTGGCCAAGTGGGGTTTTTCTTCATGCGCTTTAACACCATGATAAAAAGAAGGGGAGATGGGGCTTAAACTCATTCCTAACCTGTTCTGGGTGCTTTGCAGGCTCGCCGAGCACCTGTGGAGAATGCGAGCAGCCACCATCTTCCAGAAGCAATTCTGAATGCTGAGGATCCGGCAAGCTTTTCAGTGCGTTCGCAATGCCACTGTCACTGTCCAGTCTTTTGCTCAGGGCGTGTTTGTCAGGAGGGTTTATCGCAAGGTAGGACCCCACAAAGCAGAGATGAATAGGAAGAGCTGGTTCATCGCAGATGTTTTGATGCTTTCTTAAACCAATCACCTCCAGCGTTTCTGGAGTGCCAGAGTTGCCTGCAAGTGCTGCCATTTAGAGCTGTGCAAGCACCAGTGATTTTGGCAGAAGCCCCTCTGAGGAGAAGCTAAATGCAGTTCATCATGCAGCTGCCAGCAGGCAATTTCGAAATCTGGAAATGTCATTTTCCCGTGCTCGACAAAATTTACCTGGCAAACAGAATTTGTATATCTGAGCTGTGGTACAGGTGCAGCCACCGGTGCGAGGGGAAGGCCGGCAGGGTCTGCTTAGGAAGCAACAGGTTGTTTATTGATATATATATATATATATATATTGATATATAGAGCCCCTTTTAATCAATTCTCTCTGTTCTATACTAACCCTGGGGATAAAAGCAGGGATGTAAAGGTTTGCTGCTGGTGAGTGATACAGGGAGAGATTGTGCCTCTGAGGAAGTCGGGAAAAGCTTTTTTTAATTTCAAGATATTGCCCTCAAGCCAGGCCCCTAGAATCTGCAAACGTGTAATCCTGGAGCACCTGGATATGGATGTTGGGGCAAGTCCATGACTGTGCCCAGCTGCAGGTGTCCTTGCGACATCCTCGGTGTGCCCAGAGCCCGCTGGAGACTTTGCTGCGCGGTTGGAGGAGGCACCTGGGGAAATATCTCCATTTGCAAGAGTGCCAAGGCTGAAGATAGTGGTGCTGTAAGCTCGCTGGAGCTTGCAAACAAAAGATTTGTCAGGAGAAACTGGTATGCTGCCTTTTGTGATAGAGCCTGTCCTGAGCTTGTATCAGTAAAATGTCTCTGTAGGCTTTAAATTCCCCTGGTATTTCTTCCCTCCCTGCGACACAGATCAGCATGGGAAAGTTATTAGCAACCTGCTGGTTGCCTCTCTAAAATGTCAGTCTTTAGTTTTAGAGAGGGAATTGGACTGCCACCTCCTGAAAAGGTTACTGGAGATTTGAGGGAGAAATACGATGCCAAAGTGACAGAAGCTTCACAAAACTGAGCGAGGTGCAGAAATCCCACCGTGCGGGGGAACTGGCTGCAGACAACAGTGAGAAGCCTGCAGGATCTCATCTGAAGGCTGTCGAGATGATAAGCAAGCCCACTAGGGCAGCATTTATCTGCAGCAGAGATTACCTTATTGCAGGCACGGAAGAGTGCTCAAAAAGTCAAACCCTGTTTTGATGCAAGTTGTGCTGAGGCTTTGGGTAGGGTGGGTGAAGCATGCGGGACAGACCATGTCCCAGCGATGCTGGGCTGCCCTCACCTTTAGGGCAGACTTTTCTCTCCTGATTGTCTTCTCTGCCCCTGCTTCACAGATGCTCGTGGAGCACCAAGCCACCATCCTGTGGTCGTGTGGGCTGCCCCGCGCCCGCTTCCTGCGGATCCGCAGGGCCGCCATCATGCTGCAGTGCTACTACTGGCGCATGAAGGCCCGGCAGCAGCTCAAGGCCCTGAAGATCGAGGCCCGCTCGGCACAGCATCTGAAGAAGCTCAACATTGGCATGGAAAACAAGGTGGTGCAGCTTCAAAGGAAGATCAACGAGCAGGTCCGTCACAAGCTGCACTAGGAGGTTAAGAAATACTTGCCAGGGTCCAGTTCTATCCATGAATAGCAGTGAGGAAATTCATATTCATCTATATCCTTCTCTAGCCTGCAAAAGTAGAGTTTAAACTCTATTTTTCTTTAAGTCAGGGGACGTATTTGTAGTACCAGTTACTAGTAATTACAATTTATCGTTCTGCTTGGGATGTGTCAAGAGCTCTTACACATCATATGAGATGAAAGCCATTGTATAAGCTGTTTGCTGCCAGGAGGTGGAAGTGTGGAGGTGGAACGATAAATGTGAAACAATCTCCAGTTAATGTTGATTTTCTCATTTTGAGTTACAATAGCAGGAGAAACATTTTTTTTTTTTGAGACATTATGAGCTTTTAAGTAAGGAGAAATCAGGGGGTGGAGGTTTTGTCTTGATTTCCCTGAATCTTTCCGAAGGCCGTTTTGAAGCAGTTACTTTGATGCTTTCTGTATAACTTTTGCAGGGAAGAATTACTGCGCTCTCATACTCATTATAGCCTGTCCGGTGAGCTATTTTTAACCACCCTTTCAGGAATAGCAGCTTATCTGGGATGCTCTAGAAGTGCTAATGAGCTTCCCAAGCTTGGGTCCACTATAGTCTCTTTGCAGCAGCAAAGTTGTTGCATCCTATTTTCCCTGAAGTATCCTGATTTTAGTCCTTGCTAATCTTTAAAAATGCCCGTTATTTTTTAAGAAAATAATAATAAAAACAATGCAGGTAAGCTGGAGAGCTGCAGTTGTATCCTTATCTGATGAGCTGAGGTAGAAAATGGTTTTATTTCTGCTACTTTAGTTCATGCGTGAATAGAGATGTGCAATACGCGGTATGCCCCTGAGGAAGAGCAGATCTTGCTTTGAAAATACTCAAACTTTTTAGTGTGTGTCAGCTTGTGAACTCTGGTGTCCACAGCTCTGTTTAATTTAGGCCTGAATTAACTGAATTCCTAAGTCAGGTGGCACTTCTGGAGGTCACACGGAGAAGGGCCAGAGGGTTTTGTGCTCTTCTTTAGCTCTGCCCAAAAAGGAGCGCTGCTGAAAAAAAGGACACTTCATGCCTTTTCTTCTTGCGTCCTCGTTTTTGTTCTTCCTTATTTGACTCCAGTGAACATCTTGGCAGAGGAAGAGGTGGTAAATTGGGCTGCTTGTCCTGATCAGTCAAAAATTGTAACCTGGGGCTTATTTGCTCCAGTGGCTTAAAAAAAAAAAAAGCAGTTCTGATTTTTTTTTTTTTAACATTTTGTCTTTTGGTTTCGTCACTTCAAGCTTTTATTACACATCCTGTGAACTAAAAACTTAGTAGAGGCAGCAGCAGTTTGCCGGGTGGTGGTCTGGCGCTGCTGATGGAACCAGGAAAGGCTCAAACTGGCATTTTTGAAACATACTTTGGGAGAAAAAAACAAAACAAAACATCTGTTTTGCACGGTTGTTGTCAAGAGTACAGGCCTTTAAGCTGTGTTGAGACCCTTCAAAAGGGAAAACCTCCAAATCAACTTGTTCTGCTTTTCTTTATTTTGAAAATGATTCTCTTTTCCCCCATGAATACCTACCTGATGGTAGCAAAGATACCATTCTTAGGGAGTGTTTCCTTGCAGCTCATGTTCTGCTGTGACTTCTGAGGGGAACAGAGACAGGGACTTCTCTGTGGCTAACATTAATGATGTTTTATTAGTGACAATATGATTCCCATTGACTTTGGGCCAAACCATGGAAATCAACCAGGACTGCAGAATTTTCAGGTCTCAGAGCTGGGGTAAAAGGAAAGAAAATCATTTCCAAGTGCTTAAAAAAAGAAAATCTGAGCAAATGAAAAGGCTTTATTGCGCTGGCAGTCCTGGAGCTACAACTTGACGCCGGGGTCGGAGGGAGCTTTTTGTGTGCCAGCTGGCAATTACGCTGCAGCTCCTTGCCACAGCAGCTCCCTGCGGGCATGAAAATCGGGAATAAAGGGATAACAGCACGCTGAAATATTGCAAACCAACTGCATTCATCAGCGCTGTGTGGAAGCACTGATAAAAGTGGGGCTTTTTGTTTTGCTTACAAGCACCGGCAAACTTTGCTTGCTTTTTACCTTGACTTTGACATCAAATTAACAACTGCCCATGTAATTGCTACGAAAATATCGTTGTGCTTTTGTCTCAGGTTCGAAATTGTTTGTAGCTTTTTCAGCTTTAGCATCATGTGGAAATGTTTGCTATCCAAAGTGTCTTGTCCACGGGGCTCCAAGATGTTTGACTGCTGCCTTTGCAGTGCACGCACTGCTCTTGCTCACGGTCTTATTTTCTTCTGTTTCTGGGGGCCCATTGGCTTGCAGAACAAGGAGTACAAACTCCTGAACAAGCAGCTCTCCATGCTCACCTCTGCCCATTCCTCCAAAGTGGAAAAGCTCAAGAAGGAACTGGAGCAGTATCAGCAGTGTCATCAGGGTGATGGGAACCAGCCCATTAGCTTGCAAGAAGAGATGGAGAACCTCCGTCTGGAGCTGGAGAAAGCCCACGGAGAGAGGAAGGTGGTGGAGGACAGCTACACGAAGGAGAAGGACCTGCTCAGAAAGGTACATGTCACCTCTCGTGATCTGGAGGTCTCTCCTAGGTGGACTGAACTGATGGATTTCTGCCGTTTTGGCCGTGGTGGCCCCAACCAGGCAGCCAGTGGCTACTGGTGCTGACCAGTCCTTGCAGTGTCCATGCGACTCTGAGACAGAGAGACTGTGCACTGAGCAGAAACTCAATGATTTTTTTTAAATTATTATTCTTTTTCTTTAACCAAACCAAGCTAGTGGACCTGCTTCAGTTTAGGGCACACTTCAATAGCCAGCTGCAGCGCAGACCCTTAGAGGGCCAAAGGATGCTTTATTTTGCAGGTGATGATGTGGCTGGGGAAAAAAACCTGCTTCTCCTTCTTGCTCTTGCTTGCACATCCCCTTGCAGTGCTTGAGAGAAGAGTTGATTTAATGCCCAGTCAGGCGATGCTCTGCGAACGCACAGGAGCAAAGCGAAAGCTTCCCCTTGCTTCAGAAGTGCCTACAGCAGAGCAAATATTACCTACTTTCCCTGGACAATAAATGGTTTAATTATAAAGCCTGGCAGTTGTTTCCATTTCTGGGAGTGCTGCAGACTCTCAGTTCTGGTTTAGCTCTCCATTACGTCCTCTGGGCACAGGGACAAGGAGGAGGACCAAAACGTGACTTTGCTGCCTGTCCCCTCTGTCCAGCCTCCTGAAAACTAGCTCATGTGGAGGAGCAGCTAGTGGAAGGATTGCTGTGAATGGTTTTTGTACTGTAAAATTATTTTTTTTCTGTAAAAATTGGTTTTTAAGGCAAAAGTCTGCTGGAAATGGCTAGGAGATAGGGAGGCTTTGCAGTCTCTGAGCTAACTTTGCTATTGGGGGACGAAAAAAACCCTTAAGCTTTTTCTTCTGGCTTTTCGTTCTCAGTTTGGAATAATCCTTCCAATTGTGTATCGTGACTAAAAGTGAAGCATCCTAGAAGAGCACCAGCAATTTTCCTTAGGGCTTTCCATAATATATAACCCCCTTGTTTGGTGAGCTGGGATGACCCAAAACCTGGCCAAGAGCTTCAAAGGAAAATCCCCCCTCCCGAGATCAGGGACAGGCTGGAGCCACATTTTGGAAGCGGCTGGTGCCAGTGGAGGCGTTTGGGAAGGGCTGGAATGGTCCGGAGTGCAGCACTTAACATCCTCCCTAGGAGCTTATCCGGGCAGGCACCGCTCTGTGGGGGCTGCCGTGTTTGAAGCACCTTCAAAAATCAGCTTAGGTAGAAACCTTTTCTACCAGCGAGATGCAATATATAAAAGGTACCAACGGGAGCAGCATATTTTTTTTCAAACTGAGAATCATTGCACTGAGCCTTTCAGATCAAAAATATTCCTCCAGCTTGGTTGAAAAGGCTCCAGATTTTTATCCAGTCCTATTTTCCAGCTGTCCTACCTCTGCCTTCCGGGCAGAAGAGTTCATTATTGGCGCGTTCTCCACTGAGGAGTGGTTATAGCACAGCCCCATTGCACCCAGTCTTTGCTCTGATGGGATAAGCAAGGCAGGCTCTGTGCTGCCTCGTTGCATTGCAGGTCACTATTTAACCATATGTGTGTCTTAGTTAAAATGGCACCACAGAAGGCATTGAAATTCCTGAGGATGGACAAAATTACGGGATAGGCCGCTTTCAGGTGGGCTCTGTATGTGCTGTGGCAAGTAACCTTCCTTTCCTTCATTTCAAATGAAAAGCTAGGAAAAAAAGAGAAATAGTATTTAGTAGAACTCAGTTCCTGCTGTCACTAATTTTTGCAAGGTGATTACCGTTGTTAATAATTTATACATGCATTTCTCTTGCACTTTACCCTGCTGTGAGTTTTGAAGCAGCATGAAGGAGAGTTTTGTTAAAATGACTATATTCCTATTGCATGAAGTGGGTACAAAACCTAAAAAGTGACAAAAGGCTTGACACATTTACCATTAGGCTTCCAAGCTGCTCCCTGGCACCATGTTCCTTCTTAAATAATATGTTGTTTGCAACAGCCAGCAGATTTTCCATTTATCCCTGACATCTCTGTTCCTCTTAATTTCCTTTAGCTGAAATCCTAGCTTAAATCCTGCAGGTTTTGTTTTTCTGGGCAGGAAGTCACATTTATCCTCACGGCCCCTTTCCTATCTCTGCCCCTTGCTGTTACGTTTTTGGATTTTGCAGGTTTTGTTAGTGGCAGGACCTGCAGGTGCTTGGCCAGGAACTATTTGAGTCAGCAGATTCATGCAAAGAATATGGGGCAAAAATCTTGTCGGAGTTGCTGGTTATTTCAATCTGACATACAAAGAATACCTGAATGGCAAAGAAAAGCTGAGGGGAAAAAAAGCTTCCCATCTTCGGCCAGGTGAAATTTAATCGTGGAGAAGAGTCTCGGCGCTTTGTGCTAACACTCTGCCTTGTTTCACAGCGCATAGCAGACCTGGAGGAGGAGAACGCGCTCCTGAAGCAGGAGAAAGAGGAGCTGAACCACAGGATCCTGGGTCAGGCCCAAGGTAAGAAAAAGAAACCTGCAGGGAAAACAGTCTGGGCAAAGCCTCGGTCTCCCAAAAGGCTCTTGTGCATGTAAGGGAATAAAAATAAATAAAAATAAAAATGTTTTGAAATGGGGTGAATACCCATGGCACTTCTCAAATCTAAGTGTTATTTCCAGCCTGTACTGCTCTCACTCACAAGTGGGTTTGTGATCACAGAGCTGCTTTGCTTGTGCTGGAGATTTAGGGGTGAAGATTATATTTCACTTCTGCCATTTCTTATTTTAAAGATGAATTTGCTCAAAACACTTTGGAGGAAAATCTGCAGATGAAGAAAGAGTTGGAAGAAGAGAGGTCTCGGTACCAGAACCTGGTGAAAGAGTATTCGAGGCTGGAGCAGAGATATGACAACATGAGGGATGAGATTACTATTATAAAGGTAACAGAAATCCTGGAGTTAGACCTGTTTTGTTCTGTCTAGGTCACAATGTTGGCCGTAGGTTAACGTGGTCATAACGTGGGATAACTCCCTAAATACTTGGCCACTCTTGGGCACTGTAGACTGAAGGTCTAGGTTGAAGGCAGAGCACGTGCATTTCTGGAAGAAGGATACTGATATTCCCAGCCTCCCCATTGCTTGCAACATAGAGGTTTGTGTGCATCTTGGTAAAACCTGGCTTGTACTTTTGCGTGTGTGTATTTTTTTTTTTTTAATTTGTTGGTGTCAGTGATGCTGACATGTCAAGTTGAATTAAAAGAAAATCTCCCAGATTTCAGAAGCCTCAGCCTTTCCTTTCAGCTGTGCTAAAATTTTAGTATTGAAGTATACAATGGGATAATTAGAGAAGGCCGTTGATTTGCTGGAAAGCTGTTTGGAGGAAGCCTGTTAGGGCACCACAGGAAGCAGAAATCATGAGCATAGGTTTGCACCTTCACACTGCACTACTGTCTGTTGCATGAGCAACTGCAATTCATGTGGTGTAATATTTAAACAAAACTTCTGCATCGTTTTACATTTTGTTTTGAAGGATTTTCTTTTAAGGTGTTCCCTTCCTTAAAGCACTGATGTGTCTGCATCTCTTTGACAGCAATCTCCGGACCACGGGAGAAACTCATCCAACCAAAGCAGCTTGGAGTCTGACTCCAATTACCCATCGATATCGACCTCTGAGCTCGGGGACACCGAGGATGTGATCCAGCAAGTGGAGGTAGGGTGACTTGGGCAGCTCACTCCTCGTTTTGGGGACTGAGCACCCCAGGCCTTGCTCTGCAGGGAGCCCATGTGGGATGGAGCCTGGCATTTCCAAGGAGAAAATTGGCTTTTGTGCTGCCAAAATATCCTGCTAATTGCTTGTAAGGGATTGCAAAGCAATGATGCTGTAGCAAACACTTACTTACTTGTTGGGCTAGGTTTAAATAGGGCTCTAAAAATAATAAAGTGCTGCGTTGTGCCCGGGCCAGCTTAAAGGCTTATGAAGATGTATGCAAACTGCAGGTGTTGCTGCAGCTATTACTGCCACTGATGGCAATATCTATGTAGTGAGTGTCCTCTAGCAGGATTACAGATCCCATTACTTCTTGCCTTGAGCGTTTTCATTCTAGTCTGTTTTTACAAATACTTTGCTGGCCAGCACAGTCACTGTAAGCAACAGTCCCTCAGTGCTGGTTAAGGACATTCTAAATGATTCTGTCAAGAATAATTAATTAAGAAACCCTGCGCCAAAGGAGAGTGGTGTTGCTTACATGTGGATAGGCTCCTTTTTGAACTCTATTCTCATGAACTTGAGGTCCTGCATCGTATGGATGGAGGATGAGTGTTCCTCAGGTCTGCCCTCACCCTAGCAGGACTATACTTTGATTTAGATATTAAAAGTGCCAATTAAAAAATAAATAAATGCCTGGTCGAGATTTGGAGCCTCTTACAAATTTGTGTAACTTGGAGAGGTCGGATCTGAACTGTCATCTTCTGTTTGGTTTGGTGATGTTTCAATGTAAAGTCGCTTGCAGCAGATCAGTGTAAAGTGGACCAAAGAAAGTGCTTCAGTGCCTTGCAGCATGAGCTCCCCCTGGATCTGGGAGCTGCAAAAAGGTTTTGGGTATGGGTGGTATTCTAACGGGTATGTCTAACAGGTGTTGCACATGGTTGTGAAACTCCACCGAGGTCTTCCTTTTTTTTTTCACCTGCTGCAGGAGGCTGGGATGGAGAAAGCAGCCATGGACATGACACTCTTCCTCAAGCTGCAGAAGCGAGTAAGGGATCTGGAGCAGGAGAGGAAGAAACTGCAAACCCAACTGGAGAAAAAGGAGCAGGAAGCCAAGAAAGCCGAGGTAGGAGGTGTCTGATGCTGGTGTTCCATGCTTGTCATTGACTTTCTGTGGCAGCCTGAGGACACAGCGCAGGAAGTCAGGTTTGAGCGATGAGTTCCAGCTATGGGGCAGGCAAATTCATATGGGAGATGGGCAGAAACGTTTCTGGCAGTAAAGGAGAGATGGACAGTGGAAGAGGGGAGGAGGAGCCCGTGTTATCCCGTGGCAACAATGTGAGAGTGGCTCTGGGAAGAGCTTTCTGGGCTTTTTCTCCTGCTTGGAGGCTCACAGAGGCAATGTCCGGGTGCTAGAGCCCCACCATGGGTTGTGCAGCTCTGGCTGCATAGACTCATGTGAACCACATTGTCTCCTCAAGCTCATCCTCTCCTCCTACATACCATAAAGTGCATAGAAGGAGGAGGCTTTATGTAGCCCTCCAACTTGCATTTAGCAGGAACCTCTCTCCCATCGATTTTAGAGGAAATGAGCCAGTCGGTTGGATGTCCAGTATCTCAGAGCATGGAAATCCTCTTAGGATGGGCTAAAATTACTGTAGGATCTGTCAAGGTTCTTTGCTCTGACTACAGACATCTCTGGAAAAGTGCAATGTTCTTTCCAAATACCCACGTAATTGTGCTGGTCATGATTAGGGAATACACCTGGTTGTCATCTCTTTCAGTACATTTGAAATCAGTGAAACAAAAAATCAGGTTGGGAGTGATTTATCCTGCTGCAGGCCTAACTCACGCTGCTGATGTTGTTTTTACGTGTCCCAGGGGAAAGTTTAGCTGTGAGCTGAGTTTCCCTAGCAGAGGCTGGAGAGGGGAAAGGGACCCTCAGCAGCAGTCCTGGCTGCAGCATTAGGAATGCAAGACAGGAATCTGATGGTTTCGGATACAGCCGTTTGGCTCGATCAAACTTAGGGGCATGGCAGCACTCAGGGACTGTGTATCAAGGACCCTGGTTATCAGTCATGCCCAGCAACTCTCCCTTTTCTGTGGATTTTTGTTGCAAAAGCCATATTTTTTGCAGGCCTGCCTATAGTTTTTGCAGCATATGTTTGATTCCCCCTGGGTGGCATGAGCTGATAAGCAGTTTGAGGGCACATCCGTCAGGCTCGTGTCCCCAGCGTGGTGTTTTTATGTTATCCATGTGATATTCTTCCTCAGGGATGATCACACAGCAATACAGCCTAAACAAGGCCACTGCAAATCAGAAATGGCAAGATAGCAACATGTCTCCCTGTTGCAGAGAGCATCTTCATTCCTTATATACTTTCTATTTTGTGAAAAAAAAATCTTCCTACTTTTTAGATGGCTTGTCTGAAAGTCATTTAAAAAATCCATATTACCAATTACTATATTACTCAGTGGTAACTGGGGCGCAGAGATTGGCTTCTAGAGCTGGAGTCTGCAAAAACGACTCTTTCTAGGCTAATGCTTGGCGTGCAGGTGGTTTAGTGGCAGGTTTGGTGGCAATTCTTGTATGAAACGCTGTGCCAATGCCATTGCTCTGGGCTTGGTAATTAAAACACCCAAGGTTTCTCCTTGGGTTGTTAGGTGATTATTCTGATTGTTTCTCTGCAGCGTGAAATCTATTGATTGATGCAATAGGAGCCTCGACTAAATCATCATCCGTGATTGCTTACTTGCATGACCAGATATTCTTATTGATCATTGCTGGTGATTTGCAGCAAAATACACAAAATGGGGAACTTCTTCACTCTCTCCTCATTGCTACAGAGCCTGATAATAAACAAAAAAACAGTGTGTTGAAGATTGCTACCCTAATGACTGTGCTGCTTTGAAAATTACGATGAAAGTTGCAGTCCTTAAGGCGTTAATAAGAGATTAAACCATTTTCTCTTGAGGTCTTCCTTCAGATTTCATCTAGGTGCAGCTCCCATGAGAATAATTCAAGGCTTTATTCATTGCCGGTTGGATTTCCATGGATAAGACAAGCTACAGGTCTACCTTTAGGTGTCTAAACTTACACATTTGATTCTGTTGGGGAAGTAGGAGCTTTTCTCCTTTGTTTAATGAGGAGAGAAAGCTACTGCTGTGCCTGTACCAGAGGAGTCCTGAGGAGCTGCATGGGCTTTGTGTCCTGTCTGCATTTCTGTGACCCTGCTCTAGGGCATCAGAAGTGATGTTGCACTGAATTACCTGTGGTTTGAGTTGAACTGTCATGGCAGAAGTTGGGTTGGGATTAGATATATTACTTCAGTGACAAGGGACATGATTTAGGAGAAGCATACTATTTGAGAGGAAACTCTAATCATAATAGGTTATTTGCTCGGCCCGTGGTCGGTTGTTCAGCTACTGTGCCAGTTCCCCAGCCTCTCTCAGACACAGGTTTGTCCTTTTAATCCTCACAGGTAATTGAGACGAACACTGAAGTGGCTCCAGGCAATGAAGATCTTGTATACAACAGCCTGAAGGTGAGGAACACGTACGTAGCACTGTCCCCCTTGACCTGCCTCTACCAATTGAATTACCCGAGAGTGGTAATGAATCGAGCTCTCCTGTGCCTGGATCTGTGGATGAGGGATCTCAACCGTAGGGCATCGTGAAAGCACCCATAGCTCTCCTGCAGCAACCTGGCCTTGGGCCAGGACGGTGTTGTACAATGTTGTCCAACATGGGCTGGCTTCTTGGGAGGAAAACTTGATCCACCTCTTTGCTGGCTCTGCCATTTGGATCCTGCTCTTCTGGGGGAGATGGGTGGTCCTTCCACTCTGCACTCAGATGCGTTGGGTCTTCACTTTTATACCCTGCTCGTCCTTGGAGATCTGGTTTCTAGGGTTGCAAGGGTTTCTCTTTGTTATTACTAGCTCAGACCTAAATGTCCAATCCCTGACCCTCTGACAGGAATTGAAATAACAGCTGACAAATCCAGGGTGGAAATGTGCTACCCAGAATAAGCTCATACTAAACCACCTGACAGTAATAGCACCCATTTTTGCCATCTGCATTATTTCTGCAGATATTGCTGCAACCTAAGGATGCAGCAAAGCAGCAATTAGAGATGGCAAGGATAAGTGTTCAATCCTCGCTAACAGCAGATCTCTAGAAGTAGCTTTTTTTGGGGCATTTAATCCATTTAATTTTTAGTCTCCGAATGTGGTATTTGTGTTGCACACGTTAGACATCCTGTTTCTAGTTGATCTCTGCTGAGTTTTGTCAGTGTTCGTGCACAGCTGCTGGAGGAGCAGAATGGCCAGGATTTGCTCAAGTGTCATTGGTTAAACACAGCTCTTGAAGATGTGAAGCGCAGCAGAGCAGTGGTTTGGCATGGGATACCTCGCAGATTACAAGTGCCAGCTTCTCAGATGGCTTCTGGAGTTGTGACTCTTGCGTGAATAAACAAATGTTTTCTTCACGTTTTAACCCTGGTGCACATTCAGATGAAAACATTCATTTTGGCTTTTCCACCTTCTACGTTCCTGTTTAGCAAACCTCGATAACCATCTCTCACTATGGTTTCAAAAGAAGAGGGAGATAGGAGGAGTTGCAAACTGCAGAGTTCTTTAATGTTTATCCTGAAACAGGTGGGAAATGCACTTGCAAAGAAACAGAGCTTCTCAGAATTTGCTTTTTCAGCAAAGCTGCAAGGCAGCAGCTTCTCTGCACTGTTTCTCTTTGGAGTTGCATGAACCTGAGCTGAAGGTTGCAGCAAGGAACTAAGAGACTGATTTATCTCAATGCTGTGCTCAGTAAGAAAGCTGATCTCCCTGGGAAAAGCAAGGAGCAATTGCTTGGAATGAAGCAGTGAAAGAAAGCACCTAATCCTGGAGCAAAGCACTGGATATTCCCCATGGTCAGCCAGCTGTGGCATTTTTCCCAGTTTTCCATGTAGAACGTCACCTAAAGTCACAATCTGCAATGAAAGAGTGACTTCTAGCTAACTTTGAGCACCATGTCTCCCTCCTTTCCCCAAGACAGCTGCTTCTGGGAATATAGCAGAGCTCTGCCTCTCTTCTCTATAGTGTCTTTCTCCTGCTCATTTATATCTCAAATATTTATACTGCCTTTGGCTCCTTCAAGAGAATTGTGTAATTAAACTCATTTTTTTGTCGGGTTAAGATATTTAAAAAGTCATTATCTCTCACAATGAGGCTCAGGTGTCTGGAGTGTGCAGATAGCAAAGGGTGGGCAGCTCAAGAGACAGGAAGTTGGGAAGAGTTTTTTTCCATCACAGAGTTTCTCCAGTCTCTCCATTTAGTGCATGTGAAGCAGCAGAGCAAGTGAGATGACTGGGGGAAGATGGAGAAATGTGTTGAGGAAAATCGGCTCTGCTGTCGAGCCGATGATCCATGGTGTCCACACAGTCTGTCCAGGGTTCATATTGGAGAAATATTCATATAAATATGTATAAATACAACAAACCATGTGAATGTAAATATACATATGTACATTCTAAAATATGCATAAAGTATAGAAATCAGTTTAGGTAAATAGAATCAGTAGTGCTGGTAACTGGTGGAAATCATGTTTCATCAAGTGGCATCTGCCCGTTTATCTGGTTTGGTTGAATAGGTTCCCAGTTTTGTTGGATGTAGGAGCATTTCTGGATGCCCATGCACTAGTAGCTGCCAGGCAAGTGCTGGCAGGGGTGTTTATGCTCTCTTAGCACAGGTTTGGCATCAGTTGTTTGTTCATCCATCCTGCAAACCAGGCTGAGATGCTGTTTTTGGACACACATAGACCTCTGTGGAGGCGTTGCACTAGGAAAGTGTGGGTGTGCCAGGGTCCTCAGATGTTTCAAGAGCTAAATCTGAATTTTGGGCTTCCTGTAGTGCTGCTAGGGAATTTGATAAACTTGTTGGACTAATTAAGAATGTACTTAGAGCAGGAGCAAGTTATGGGTCCTTTTTAAATAGACTTTTAAATAGATTCTGTCCCAAAATGTGCCCAGGAGGTGTTGAGTTAGCCATGAAATAGGTCATGCAAGGCAGGTCATTTATTCTCTTGGGGAGATTCAGCTAGAAGATGTGTCCCTCTGTTATGCCAGTGCAGCAAAAGATCATCTGTAAAAGATGTATTTTCTGGCTTGTTTTTCTGTCTGGGAAAGTGAGAGTGTGCAAGAAAGCCCCAAGAAGTCTTTGCAATGACTTTGACACTGGGACAAGTGTGAGCACAAGTTTGTGATATTTACTCTGTGTAACTTCCCGAGTAGAGCTGTGGCATTGGAGTGCCATGCAGGAACGGGATGGTTTCTCACAGCCCAAGCAGAAATCTCCCTTTCCGAGCTCAAAATGTTTTATTTTGGCATCCGTATATTTGGAGATAGAGCTGGCATGAGCATAGGCTGATGATCAAAACTCAGCTCTCATGCTCGTTCCTCCTTATACCATGGAGCAGGTTCATTAATATTATAGTGCAAAATCTTGCTTTTGTCTATGGAGATGTTAATATCTGTCTGAAGATCTTTCCATGTCCATCAGGGAGCTCAGGGAGGTGAAGTGGCAGCACTCCCTGTGTGCAGTGTCATTACTGGTTGTTCAAGAAGGAAATGGGAAGATGCCTCCTACCAGAGGTGATCTTGCTCCTCCTTGCTCCTCTTAGATATGGAGGAATTACCGGATCAAATCATTTTCTATCTCTCTCCCCCTCCCTCTTTTTTTTTTTTTTTTTTTTAATGACAGATGGTATAAAATAGCTGAAGATGCTCTGGCAGTGATGGTGTTTTTCAGCTTGGAGCACACTGTCTATCCAGATGCCAGATCAGCTATTCCCTTCACACCTCTGCTGCGATATAGCATGCTATTTATAATTTGTAGGAGTTGGTAATTATACCACTGGTTGCCTATGGAAATGAGGCTTTGCAGCTGTGTCATCCACACCCTGCATAGATTACCCATTTGTTTCAGAGCCGGTGATTTGCTTCAGCCAAAGCCCATGTGGAGGCAGATATCCTGCACGAGTGGGATCAGAGGAGAAAAATGTGGAAAGAGTCAAAAGACAAGGGGGGAGAGAAGTACGCAGATTTGGAGGGAGAAGCTTGTGCTGTTGCAGATGCTGGGAAGACCCGACCTCAAATCAGTTGCCAGTTAGTTTTTTACCTCGCTTGTGTCTCAGTGTTTTGGTGTTATAATAGTGAAAGCTGTGGGTTGTCGCTCCATCCAGATTTTGGAATTGCCACCCTTGGTCCGGGGCCTGCCTGGGCTGTTTTAGCTGTCAAACTTCATCCATGCTCTCTTCCACCACTGTGCCAAAGCAAACCAGAGCTTTAGTCATCTCCACAAAAGTGGCCACACTTGTGTGGTTGTCGAAAAGCCAGCACGGAGATTCAGAGAGCTGTAACTCACCTAACTGGAAGGGAGCCAGGGAAAGCAATGCCTAAAATCAGCTCTCCTGGCTTCTCTGATGAAAAGCATGGGTGGGTAAAATGTCCTGGGATTTTTGTGGCAATTCCTTGGTTGGGAAGGAACTAGGATGAAGGAGAAACAGATGTGTTCAGGCTCTCTAATTGTTTTGTGCTTAAAAATAGCAGCAACAGATAAGAATTCTCCCATGTGACACTTCTGTGGCATTATTATTAAGTGGCATCAGGCGCCCAATTGCAGCTGGATAGCAACTGAGGTGCAGGAAGACACAAAAATCGTTTCTGGCCTGGATCAATAGCAAAATCTCCGTGTTGGCATGAACTGTGTGGTCAGCTGTGCTCATGGAGTCATGCTGGGGACATAATAGAAACAGACCAGTTTGTCTAAGTAGGGTCACGGCTTGGCTTTTTTACAGAGGCAAGAACTAGAGTCAGAGAACAAGAAGCTGAAAAATGAGCTGAACGAGCTGAGGAAGGCTATTGCGGAGCAGGCAACCCAGAACAACAACTCCAACGACATCCAGGACAGCTACAGGCTCTTGCTGAACCAGCTGAAGTCATCCAACGAAGAGCTGGAAGTGCGGAAAGAAGAGGTCCTTATCCTGAGGACACAGATTTTGAAGGCAGCTCAGCAAAAAGAGACGGGCAAAAATACGGTAATTTAGAGTATCTCTTTTCCCCTTCTTTGTTAGACTGTCACTGGGAATCCACCACCTGCTTGAGTGATAAATAATGTTTCTCCTTTGGGAGGGCCTGGGCATCAAAATGTATTGAGGATGTAGGAGGACCATCCTCTGGATAAGTTATGGTCCATGATTTCACCTCAGACAACCCAGGACCACGTGTCAGTTGGTGCCTGTAGTGCTAGAAGGTGTTTGACACCACTGACGAAGCCTAGTAAGACTGAAGGAAAAAATTCTGTCAGGTGTAGTTGTCTGAGATGGATCCCACATATGGTTGTCCCCATCAAGGTAGGGTTGTGTAAGATGGTCCAAGTGTTGTTCTGTGGTAACTGCCTTATTTCATAAGAAAGTGTGGTGATCAGATCAGGTCAAATGTTTCTGCTGCACTGAAGACAAGAAGAGAGCTTGGCCCATCTCATTGCTTGGGGGTTTTTTTTTTTTTTTTTTTTTTGCTTAGAGAAGCTGTTCCTACCAAAAGATGTATTTTCCAAAATTCCCACTTGCGTTTCTTAATTACTAGCCCTACCTTTCTTCAAGATTTTAGCATGTTTAATGTTTTGGACCACAAACTACCCTTATCTCTGTTCTAGGCTCGCTGCACTCATCCTCCAGTTGCCCACCTCTGCCCTGTCTGTCCATATGTGAATGAACCCCTAAAAACTTGGCAGCCTGGTTGGTGCCCTGAGGAAGCTCCACTGAGCCTGACTGGGGGGTGTTTAGTGTCTGGAGCTTGGAAAGACTTGGAGAAATGTGCTGGAGTTCACACTGCTATTTTTGCATGTTGTATTTAGGAAACAAGCATCAACACCCATGCCAGCTGGCCCAACAGTGACAAAAACGTGGCCCAAGAGGATGCAATCGAGGCCTACCAAGGGATGTGTGAGACAAACCGGTAAGTGTGACGCAGAGCCGGGGGCAGGGATGACCAAATCATCACAGGTGGGATGCCATCCAAAATTAAAAGAGATATTGATACTAGCTTCTGGAGTCTGTTCAGGATCTTGTTCGAGGATGGAGGGTGAAGCTGAGGCCAAGGTCCACATCTCATCATGAGTTGTGGTGTCCTCGTCCTTGGACCTGTGTTTAACCAAGGCAGTGGAGGCCCTGGACAGTCTGGAACACCAACACTGCCATGAACAAAACTGGGTTTTTTCATACTGCCAAGGGAGAGCATAGGCAGGGAAGGGATGATGCTGCTGAGCAGGAAGGCAGCTCTGTCCAAATGCTCTCTAATCCAGCAGCACTCACCTTACTGGTTTTCCTGATTTTGAAATGAAAGCCAAGAACATCCTTTTGATTACAGGTTGTCCTGTACCAGTGAGAGCTGGTATTGCAGACATGAGTCTTTCTCTGTTACACTGGGGAGTTTGTACTGCTGAGCCTAAAATCAGCCCTTGCAACCATCCAGGCAAGCTTAAAAAAAAATAGCAACTTGCAAGAGGAGAAAATTATGTGGATTAAGCAGCAAGATAATATGTAAAGCCAATGTTTATTTTACTGCAAGGGAATTGAATGTTCATCTTTGTTTCTCTACCTGCTTATTTGACAAATACTAGTGCTTAAGGGTTTTTTCTTTGGCAATTTGCATTCAGCAAGGTAGTAAAAAGACGTAACTGTTGTGGACTACTGGCTTCTAGTAAGTGAGGTTAAGTTCCCACTTCTTAAACCAGTTGCAGGAAGTTGTTAGAAGCCCCAGCCGGGCAGGGTAGTGGTGTGATGGGATTTTGTTAATGTCTACATGAATATGAGCAAAAGCCTACCACCTTAGAACATCATATGAAAAATTACATTGTTTCAGCTCCATCACTAACAAGGATGGAGCTCCTGGAGAGGAGATGCTAACTCTGGCAAGCAGGTTAAAAGTAATAGCGTGATTATATATAATAGCATAAATATAATAGCAGCAGTACTGCCAGTGAGTATGGATCATACAGAAATCATCAAACTCACTAAAACAATCTAATTTTCTGAAAGACATTAGAGCGTCCAGGTACAATTTCCTCCTTTCACTCCTGCTGGGAATACTTGGCTCTTGCTTGCCTCTCATACCATGTTTGGCTGGAATATGGCAGTTTTCTGCCGTGAGTTGTCCAAAAACTTGTTAATCACCACCACCTTCCCTGCAACATGATGTCCTGGGCATTTGTTTGTGTGTTGGGTTGTTTTAGAAGCTGTGGGCTGCAACCATGGCAATAAAACAGATGGAAGCAAACACTGGGGGAAGGCGGATTATTATATTTGTGGGTATAAATTAACGTTCCCTCCTCACTCCAGCACAAATTTGCAGTTTGCACATAGGAAGCTTCTGTACCTGAAAGTGGCAGTATGAGAAATAAAACCGCTATTTTATTTTCAATCTTCTTTTAATCAATAAATATTGCAAGAGAAAGCCTGCCTAGTGGGAATGCAAATGCTGAAGTGGGATTGAGCAAGAGCCAACCCCTCTCCCATTTCTCCTAGGTTGCTCCTAGCTTGTCTCAGCTGCTTGGGCTGGGAATGGAGCTTGGTGCCAGGTCAAGGGGGAGCTAGAATTAAAAACAACCCCATATAAATGCAGTGAGCTCAGATTTCCTTTTTTTTTTTTTATCCCTTTTCTCTCCCTCTTTTTTTTTTTCTTTTTTCTCTGAGTTTTAACTGCAAGGAGATGGAGGGGAAAAGCACCAAGTTTAATTCCCAGCTAATTTTCTGCCTCAGTAACTGGATGTAAAGCGAAGCGAGCTTTGTTCTCCATTCTAGTTCTTGGGATCTTTCTTGTTGCAATTGTGGGAATTTTCTTTCTGAAGGGTAGAACCTCAGAAAAAAACAGCGAGTGACGTCAGAGGAGGCAACTTGATAGCTCAAAGCACTCTGGGCTTCATGTCCAAAGTTAACTCTAACCATGACTCTGCAGGGACTTTTGGGGCTTTTTAAAGAAAAAAAAAAAAAGCATATCTGCATTTTCAGATGAAATGCCCTTTATTTCTTTTTTTTTAATAAGAGACATTAATTAGCCTATGATGCTAACATTAACATCTCTAGAATTTAGTATGCTGGCCTATCCTTTAAGCTACTTTTATACAGATGGTTGAAGGAGAGGGGAGGCATTTGGGACAGGAATTTCTTTCCATTTTCCATTTTGCAGAGTGCAGGTCACCAGGAAGACTTTGAGAATCAGGTACTCATGCAGGGTTATTTGGCAGAAGAATGAAAAAATATAAAGGAGAAAAAAATAAGCCACTATTGACTTCCAGGAGAAGGGAATTCCATCTTGAGAAATACAGACTAAACTGCATCTCCTTTTGAAAAAGGTGATGCATCCTTTCCCTTTGGAAGTTTAATGATCCTTTTTTTTTTTTTTTTTTTCCTCCTTATTTCTAAAGGGAAAAAAGGAAAAAGAAAAGACTTTCAAATGCAAATGGAGGCCAAAAATCTTGGAAAATCTTGCTGTAGTGAGTGGTCCTGGTCAGGCTGACCAGCTCACTTCATTCACTTGCAGTGTGTTCAACACCTCATTAAAGAAGATAAATGAGTTCCCTGCCTTTCATAATTTAAAAAAGAGTGTTAAAAGGAAAATGTCTACTGATGAAGTGAGAGGAGGATTTTCTGGGCATTTTTCTGCCTAGGGGGATGTGAAAGAGATCGTATCTTAAATGGTTCTGAAGGAAATTGAGGAGAAAAGCATCAAAGGGTGGTTCAGTTTGAAGGTTGTTTGGAGGAAAGGCTCTCATGTGTTTGACTTTATGATTGAGAAACCCTGTGATTGATGCAGAAGGCAGAGAATTGTTTTAGAGTAGTGGAAGTTGGTGCAGAAGGAAGGAAATAGCTGAATTTGTCCTTCACGTGATCAGAAAAATGTCCTGTTGGTGAGACCTGCCTGACCGAAGGAGGTCTGGGAGAGAAGGGGGTAAAGTACCCAGTTGCAGTGGGTTGTTGTTTAAAGCTGGACTAGGTGAAATCACAAGAAAGGTACTGGGAGGAGCCTGTGAAAAAATAGATTTCTCTGATATAATGATCCAGCCAGATCCAGTTGTCCCACAGATGTGTTTTCTTTTACAAATGCACCTCATTCCTTGGAAGGATTTTGCAGCCTCCTTATGCTGTGTGAGGTGCTTCTCCTCAAAGAGGGTTCACTCTGTTGTCCAGGCGTTTCCATAGGACATTGGTGTTATTCCTTAGTCACAATACCATGGCTTAGGCTCCGCTGTCTGCACTTCTCATTTCACCCCTTCCCTGCCCCTTCTTCCAACTTTTGCTCTCTCACTTTATTACTCTTTTTTCTTGTTTCTCTGTGATGGATTTTAAGCCCAACTTTAACGTATTTTTTGACTTAGCCAGTTTGTCCCCAAAGTGTTTCCTTGCATTCCTATGGGAAACCATTTGGCCATGCAGAAATGAAAACTCAGGTTCTGCTCCCCAAGAGTTGGGCTTTTCATAAAAGCAGGAAGGACTCAAGAATCATGATTATGCAGCATCTCTCCTAGACCTGCTGTGAGCAGGAGGTTGGACCAGGTGGTCTCCAGAGATCTCTCCCGAGCTGGTGCTGTTGTTAGGAGCAGGGAGGAAAGGGCTGGAGAAGCACCCAGTGCGATGATGTCCGTGATGTGGAAGGAGAAAACCTGCAAGGGTTCCTCTGGGTCACAGCTGGAGCCTCATGAGCCAGACAGGGCTCTTCTCATCTCATTTATCATGCTGGAAAAGAAAATACAACACCATGAAAATGTGCTTGAAAAAAAAATGGATGTAATAAGGGTTCTGGATTTCTCCCCCTTTTGTTGCAATTGACCTTTTGTCTTTCTCTATCCTCTCGTTTTCTTTTTTCTGCCCTTTCCTTCTAGCAAGACTGAGGACTGGGGTTATCTCAATGAAGATGGAGAGCTCGGCTTGGCTTATCAAGGCTTAAAGCAAGTTGCCAGGTCAAATGCTTTTTTCTTCTTCCCACTGCTTCCTCTCTCCATGCCCTTTCTGCCTGCGCTTTTGTGTATTCCTTCTCCTTCGCTCGGAGCTGCTGTTGTCCATGGGAGAGCTCTCCCTAAAGTGTTTTCTCCTGGTGGGGAACGTGCCGGGAGCTCTGCTTCTGGGAGGGTCTTGCACCTCCACGCCAACGGAGATCAGAGCAATGCGTGAGGTCTCCTGCAGAGGGTAGTCCAAAGCCATCACCCCTGGAGGGATCAGGCTACCTCCAGAAAGCGGCAGGCAAAATAATGGTGATTCATGTATTCTTCGGAGGAAGGTGGGAACCCAAGTTTGTAGAAGAAACGTGTGTTGCTGAGGGCTGCATATAGTTAATTGAAACCCACGTAAAGAGCTGAAACATGAAATAAATGCTTAGGTCCACCTGAAACAACATCCTGTATTTTCCAGCCGTTAAGAATACAACTCCTGACAGTGTGATTAGGAGGCTGAAGGCATTGTGGTCCGTGTTTTTATAATTAAGAAATGCATGTTCGTGTCTCTTGCTGGAGGAGAGGTTGGGTTATTTGTATCTTCTAAAAACAAACAAACAAAAAAACAACAACAAAAAATCCCCGAACTAGAAAATTATTAAAACTTTTCATCTTGAGAGCTTCTGCAGAAAGCAAGTGTTCTTTGATGCACTCTATCAAAAAAGGAAAAAAAAAATGAATTGTTGCTGGCAGGGAACTAGTTCACAGGCCTAAATTTACCAGCGGGACTTGAAGAGTTGTAGCTTTTTCCCCGCTGGCACTGCTCAGCAGTCAAGGCATGTCCTGGGCAAGGTATCAACGTTGGAGTTTTCTTCCCACTGGGCATTGCATCCTTCAAGGAATTGGCCAGGGTTAATGCAGAGCAGGAGACGGGGCAGGCTCTCATTGGCATTTCCTCCCTGTTCTCATTCCTAAATTTAAAAAAGCTATTTAAATCACCTGATTTTTGAGCAGCTGATTTAGTTTAGTACAAAACAGTGATTAAATGCCTTGCTGGTGGCTCCCAGGAAGAGAAGGGATGTCATGTGGTCCATACATCGACCCCATGAAGGTCCTGAAAAGATGGAATGACCATGGAAAAGCAGGAGAATGTCTGGATTTGGTGACTCCTGTCCACAGCATGTCATAGTGCTAGTACATGCACGTAGCGGAGTGTGAGGAAATTAGTATTTTTTCACACTACTGAAAACACCTGGTGAAATCAGAAGTGACTGTGGAGCTGGCAACCTGGAACAGAGCGGGAAGTTCCCTCTTGCCCATTGCCCCTCGAGTAGGTGATGAAAGACAGTGTGGAGGCATACATGAAATATAAAGATATGTAGGTTTAAACAAAGATAAGGAAATGAGTCATACAAACAACTGGAAGAAATAAAAGAGTTTGGCTTCTGCCTTTTTAAAGACCCTCAGCACCAGTCAGCAAAGCCCAGTCTAACTTCGGGCAGTCTAACCCAAAGAAGCAGCTTGAGTTACACATCTTTCAGTTTGCAAGAGCAAAACCTGACCCTTGAAAGGGGCCAGAGCCCAGGAATGATGGCTCAAGTGTATGATTAGTGTCTGTTCTTACTGATTAATCAGTCACCTTGATTTTTCCAGTTGGAAAAACATTCATGCATGCTCGTGGTCACGGCTCCCCTCTGCGCTCGCGTTGCTGCGCTCTGCATAGGACATGTTGAGCCGGGTCGAGGTCCAGGCTGTCCTGCTGCCTCTCCAAAGCTCTTGCCTTTAGGGGCCTGCCTGGAGCATGTTTGTGTCCCATGCATGGTTTAATCTCCAGCACTGAAAATAAAGGCAGCATTGCAGTAAGAGCCGTGGCACCCACTTCGTGTGTATGTGTCAGTCGCTGGGAAGTCCCTTTGCTCCCATGGAGACATAGCCAAGATTGGCTGACTTTGAAGGATCTGGACTCAAAGTGGTAGTTACCAGCCTAGTACCAAAATCATTGATGGTTGGAATGTGCTTTTCCTCAGGTTGTTGGAAGCGCAGCTCCAAGACCAGCAAAGAGAGCACGAGGAGGAGGTCGAGACTCTGAAGAGCCAAGTCGAGGCAATGAAGGAAGAGATGGAGAGACAGCAGCAGCCCTTCCTGCAGACCCTGCAGCTCTCTCCA